AACAATAAAAAACGATTAAAAAAATACTTTTAAGTATAGCGCCAGTTTTGATGGGTTGGAATAGCAAACGATCACTCAGCTTCTCGTGTGGTTGATTTTTGTCTTTCTTGAGCCGATTTTCACGTTGACGAAACGGCAGCAAATTTAAAAGGTATCTCTATTCAGGCATAAATATTTAAGCGGGGTTCATAACAGTTCGGCATGTCCCAGGCGAGCGCCGCCATGTTGCGCTTGATGGCCGAATGATGATTGTTTGATGAATATTTGATGAGTTGTGAAGCGCGTAATGGCGCCCGCCCTCAAATCACTGTTTATGAGCGCCCGTAATATTCCGATGTTTTATGGATGCGTCCCGTTATCTTCTGCGAGCCAATTTGCACTAGAATGAGACCACTGAAATATGTTATCATGGGCTGAATAAAAAATAACTGCATCACAACGGATCGCAATTTCACACATGCGATGGCTTAAACGATGTCAGCAGGAGAAAGCTAAAGGACTCTACAAGAATTTCTTCAGTGCTGATGATTCTTAATCTAATGCTTGTTTTTCATTCCGGAGGAACCGTGTATGATCATATGCAGGGACCCGGACCCGAACCGACCTGGACCCAAAACCGGAACGGAACAGGTGTTTTTTGAACTGGAACCGGAACGGAACTCATATTTGATATTAAGACACTGTTAGGTGCTGAACCGCAACCGAAATATTTTATTTCGGTTTTTTCGGTGTTTTTTTCGGTTCTGCTTGTAACGTTTGAAAGAAATTACTGTACATTTTACAGGAAAATTAAAAATAATCCTTGCTAGGACATTTTTGGACCCTCGGTATAAGGTAGTTTTAGACTACAATCAAGTAGAAAGAGCAAAAGCACATTTAAAGTCGTTATGGACTAAACTGTTATTCTTCAAAGAGTGCAATTCTTCTAGTTCTAAATATGATTTTGACCGACACGATAGGGAAACTGAATCATCTAATTCACCAAGCGATGAAATGGAACTCTTTTTGAGACATAAAGATTCACAGCAAAAATTTTTAAAAGAAATTAATCAGCACGAATTTTCTTCACAAGGATCATTTGTAGCCCTTAACAAAATTGAAAATATTTTAAATTCCTATAAAGTGGAACAAAGCCGCATACGCTTAGGGAAAAATTAAACAATTTTTGATTTCTGGAAGAAAAAGAAAGAGCTTAATCCCGAGTAATACATGCTTGTTCAAGTATTATTAAGCGTACCGGCAACTCAAGTTAGTGTTGAGAGGTTATTCTCAGGACTCAAATTTTTGTTGCCGCCTTCAAGGTCAAATATTAAAGAAAAAAATTTTAGAGGAACAATTATTTGTGAGGACCAACCGACTTTTCAATCGAAAAGAACAAACACCGCACGTTTATACACTATTTTTAAATTCTTGAAGAAAAGTTGAATTATTTTAGTTTCTCGAACCAACAAAGAAACATTTGAAATTGAAATGTTGGACAAAAGCAACTCCTCAAAAGATGGTGAAAACATGAACCAGGAAGAACAATGTTTAAACGGAAATAAGAGTGAAAGAAGAGGAATTGAGGAAGTTGTGGACCTTAATGAAAACGGAAAGACGAGAAAAGAGCTAAAGTCAGAAAGTTAATTGACAAATTACTTTTCAAAAATACAACGATTAAATTGATTTTTGTATGGAAGTCTTTATTGCAATGTTGTTTCATTTAATGTTACCTGAATTTCAATCCTTGTGTGGGGTTGCTAGTCTTCCTACACTCCTACCTCCTACCATGCAACCAGCCGAAGTACCGTATGAAGCAGTGGATAGTTTACGCATCTTTTATCTTTTATAATACGAGCATGAAAAAAGATAGTGAGATTTCTAATTAGAGTATATATCAATTTTGGAACCGAAATAAACCGAAAAAAACCGGAACCGGAACGGAACCGAATTGGAAATTATTTTCTAAACCGGAACAGTAACGGAACCGAAATTTTAAATTTTGCCTTAGGCCGAAACCGGAACGGAACAATTATTTCGTTTCGGTCCGGGTCCTTGATCATATGGTTTTTGTGACTGATTTTTCTACTATGGCGCTCAGAGGAGCACAATGTAATGTACAATTTTTAAAAAAGACAGAATTTCCTCACGTCTTTTATTACAGATTGATAAATAGTGCTCCCATTTCGCAATAAGAACGAATTATTTATCAAAAAATAA